CCACCAATTCTACTTTTAGCCTAAAAGTTCCCTTTCTAAAGTGGAAAATAACCTGTGGCTGGAGGAGAATATAGATGACTTTTTACCTCTTCTTTTGTCCCTATAAAATTGCTGTTCTTGTTCTAATCTGACAATTTATTTATTTATTTTTTCTTCTGGTACCGGGAATCGAACTCATGACCTTGTGCTTGCCAGGCAGGCACCGTGCTGCTGAGCTAAATCCCCAGCCCCCTAATCTGACAATTTAATCAACTCAGGTAAAAATAAATCCCTCCTATTGGGCTTGAGAAAAGTGGGGCTGTCTGCACAATTACAGGATCTACTGGGAAATCAAAAGCTTGTGTGAGCCAACTCAGGAGGCAAGGGAGTGGGGAGGGTATTTCAACTCAAGAGAGTAGGGAGGTAATGAAACTCAAAATATTTTCAACAACTAACACTCTAATGTAATACGGTAACTTTGAACTTGGTGGGTTTTTTGAGCGACATTTTTCTATTCCTGATCATAGACTGTCTTTTCATTTCATGTGTTGGAAGAGCCAGTGAGAACATTGCTAGAATGATAATATCTTCAGCAGGGTATCAGTGAGGGTCAGCCAACAGTCTTCTGATGGTACATAATATGCAAGCCCTGTTTGTAAGGAGCAGTCATTATACTGAGGCTTTGAACCTCTGAATATAAAAGTGCTTCTAAAAAGGTCCTGCTTTATAAGGCTAACCATTATTTTACATGAACTTTTTCTGAGGACACCAGGGATGACATCTTCTTAAATAATCCTTGAATCGGCTACTCATTTGAGTCTGCGTTTGATTCTTTCCTTTTGTGTTAGGCACCAGGAGGTCAACCAGTCAGAGGAGAAGCATTATATTATGCCTAGCTCACCTGTAGAGTCCACATGACCTCCTTATAATTCCATGACAACACTCCTGAGGAAAAGAGGTCACTGCCAAATACAACTATAAATACTTTTCAAATGAGCTTCATAAAGGATACAGGAGCAAATTACTGTATACTCTGGCACCAGAACTATCACAAGCTTAGAAAATATGTAGGCAAAATGACCACAGAATAAGGGTTTCCCAATTTTTAATCAAAGAAAGTTAGTAACAAAACATATAAAGATTATGTCCCATTTTTCTAAAGAGAGTTATGGACATCCTACAGCTTATAAAAAGTTTCTGTTTCTAAAATTTCCAGCTTTGTGAGTTTCTTGTTTGTTTTCTTTTAATATATGTTATACTTATTGGTTTTTAAGGTGAGTATTAAATAAGACTAAAAGGAAAAGGGTGTCATTTCGTTGAATTTTCCAAGCATCATTTTCTTTTCTCCAGAAGAATAAATTATTCAAGTACATCTTGGCCTAACCAGATCTTCTCTTGAGCATTCCTTGATGAAATCAAATAGTCAAAATAACAGACAGGTTACTGATGCTCCTGGACTCCATTTGTTTTGTCTGAAAGCAGTATGGTTGATTCCAGTAGCAATAGCATGGAGCACTGCGTGGTGCTCTTGATAGGTCTTTTAATTCAAAGGTCATGGGAAAAACCTGGGCCCTAACATTATTAGCTGGCCTGAATGTACTAAGCAGATCATGTAACTGATTTTTGAACTTCAGTTTATCTAGTGGCGAAGCATACTTTCTGTCTGCCTGTTCAGCCCTGTCTTTCACGGATGAGTACAAGGCTGGGAGAACCCAGTGTAGCTGCTAGAGGTCAAGAGGAAGCAGTAGAACTGCCAGTGTGGGTTAAGCTGAGAAAAAGAGAAGAAAGGGTTAATAAGAGCATACAGCAGCCTTAGAACAAATAGGGCAGGGTGAGGACAAAAAGTGGATCGGTTGGTGGTGGGGGGAGTATAGCTTAGTGGTGCTATAAATAAAAAAGTAGTTTAAGTTGATTGGTATTGTGGTACTTATAGACAGTGTGAATATTTACAGAACAAGAAATCTAGGTTGAAAATACATACTTTTGTATGTAATTTGTAAGCTAAAAATATTGCTTCTAAATATGCATGCAATATGCTCCAAAGCAATATGAAAAAAATTAAGGGAATAACAAAATGTATTAATATAAGCAAATGCAAGTAATCCTAACACTCTGGGAGGCTAAGGCAGGATAGTTGTGAATTCAAGCCCAAACTGGGCAGCTTTGCAACTTGGTGAGATCCTGTCTCAAAAAATTAAAAAAAAAAATGGCTGGGGATATAGCTTAGTGCAAAGCCTCTGGGGTCAATCCGTGGTACCACTAAAATAAAACAAATAAAATAAAAATATATGATCTGTGGTAAATATATAGGTGATATCTGTTTTTGCCAAATGGTCTCCATTTTTTTTCTTCTGTTTTCCTTTCAGTAATAGAAATCCTACCTGCCCATCTTACTAGATTGAATTCTCTGTGTCCTTGGCAGTTAAGGTGAGTTTATCTGACTAAATTGTGGCCCAATGCATGAGGGCAGATTCCTTGTTAAATCCATGACAAAGAGCATGGGGCACACACCTGTAACCCCAGCTACTTAGGAGGCTGAGGCAGAAGGACCCCGAGTTCAAGGCTAGCTTGGGAAAATCAGTGAGTCCTTGTCTCCTGATAAAAAATGAAAAGATGTGGGCACCTCAGTGGTAGAGCACTTGCTTAGATTGTGTTTGGCTCTGGATTCAACCCCCAGTACCACATACACAAAAAGGAAGTTGTTCTTTCCATGGTACTAGTACAGATATTCCTTATTTAATGACTTACCTGTAAATGACTGCTTGGAATTACTGTTGAGCACATTGTTTGAACTTACAACTTATGACTTAGATCTATAACTCATCTCTTTTTTTGCACAGTTCTGTACATCTGGTTGATAGAAATTCACTATCTTTTTTTTTTTTGGTTCGGTGTACCTTGTTTATACAGTACTGTAATTTTTGCTGATTGTATGGTATAGTATAGTACTATAGTTTCATGTTGTGTTATACATTGCAGTACTCCAAGTAAGAGTTATGCAAATAAAAACAAAGTTATCTTGTTGGAGTTTCCTTTGACCATTTGTTTGTTCTAAACCTTGTAATGTATGTAATATACACAGTTTCTCATTTAGCAACCAATTCACTTAATGACCTCGTTGCAGGACCAGACCGGAACTCTGCTGTTAAACAAGGAGTGTCTGCATTCCTTTTCCCACTGGCTGGGAAATCACGAGAGCTTGAATAACCACCTTGAGTCTAGAGACAAAAGTCACATTTAGCAGATGCTAGGCCCTCCTTCCTCTTTTTTATTTTTTATTTTTTTAATTTTAAAAATAAAAGGAGGGAAACATTAACAGACATACAACATTTTACAACATATCACAAGCACAATACAGACAATACAGAGTTACAAACAAAGTGGTAGGGAATTAACAATGGTGGTTGTATTACATATTGATATCTTCAAAGTGGCTTCTCGTGAAAACAGATATAAACATGCAATACTGGTCAACCAAAGACTCATTGACAGTTTCTTTCAGCATAGAAATAGAAGACAACCATGTTATCTATCCTGTATATACATACATACAAAATTTCTCCTTCGTTCCCTTCTCTTTTCCCACATCCCAGAAGCCCTTTACTCTTCAGTGGTTTCCTATCATTTCACAGTGTCTATCATACCTCCGAGTTTAAATTAACTCTTTCAAGTTTTACACTAGTGACACAATGTGGTGCTTGCACATGTATGTTTGATTTATTTCACTTATGAGTATGGTCTCTAGTTGTGACCGTTTAAATATAAAGGCCTCGAGTTTATCTTTCTTTACCTTTTTATAACTTGATCTTCTCATTTTAAGGCTGCTACGTAGAAAGAAAAAACATTCTATGGTATTTGAACCACTGTATTTTAAAGCTTTTTAAAAGAGCAGATCAGCCTGTAACTTAGTATAAAAACTGGAATCAAAAGTGGAGTTTTACTGGGAAAATATTTCACCCTGCTTTAATGTTAGACTCGGTAAGAATTTGTAAATCAATCTTAGAGGCTGGGGTCAGCAATCTTTTTCATGGGAAAAACACTAAGTAAAGGTTTTACCAGTTGTATCAGACCAGTGGTGACTAGGAAGGCAGATTCTGTGCCTACCGAGTCTGTAGAAAAAGGCCAGGGGAATTCAGGATACTAACGCACATGGGCTGTTCCTGAGTGCTTTCAGCAGTGTGCTCTGAGATAGGCATGAAGTTTGGTGAGAATTAATGAGTTAAATGATGAGATGAAAGAAATACAATTTTGCTCTGCTCTCCGCAAGTGCCATGCAATATAAATTGACAGAGGGATTAGTAACTTGAAAAGTCATTTGTTTGAGTAAATAGAATAACAGTAAAGTTGTCACTCTTGACCTTGCTCAAGGGCCTTGAAGTGTTCTCAACCATAAATGGAGCCAATCTAGAGACAAATTTAGATGAAAGATGTTCGTTTCACACCCAGTGCATCTGATTTTCATTCAAAAGAAAGAGGTCTGATAGCATTTCCAGCACTGATTGAGATAAACCTTTTGATTGTCCATCCTTTCATACTGCCAAAGAATTTGAAAATCTAGTTTACAAAGGCTTGTGATTGATCATAAAAAGCACCTCTGAGACCTTAACCCTGAATCAGGAAAGCTAAGAAACTTGTGTTATACTGAGCTCAAAACATAGGCTTCCTTGTCTATTGTCACATTTAAAGTGCAGAAGCTGTATGCCTTCCCTCATGTACTACTGATGTGTCCCAGGGGATTCTGGACAGGGAAAAATTTCCCAAAAGGCAAAGCCAGGGAACCAGAAAGACAGTGGGCAGGGAATATTCCTAAGGAGCAGAGCCAAGTTCATCCAGTAACTTCCGCCACTACTGGAAAGGGAGACTTTGGAATTTCTGCCCAGCAAGGTTCCAGCATTGCTGGAGAAATGGTCTGTATTTTCCCACACCTCCTTTCCCAAGTAGTAGATTTATTGCTGACAGTTCATAGAAAAGAATAAAAATGACCAATGAATAATGAAAAGATTCTTTAAGATGCTACTTACATAAATTCATTATACGATGGAAGAATCCTATTTTCGTCTATTATCAGGTCAGCAAATGTCAAAATACTAAAATGTTAGCAGTCATCAAAGTATAGGGACACAGGCTCAGCAGTACACCGGTGATGAGTGTATAGAATGGTCAAACACTTTTATCCGAAGCATAGTCCTATTTCTGTTAAACACAGAAATATATATGTCACATATATGTAATGCTCTAAAAGCAAAGACTTTGGCTGAGTACCTATGCAGTACAGGGAGTGCTTGGTGTTCCCAGGGAAGCTAATATACTGGTGTCTTTTCACATTTTGGTGTATTTGTATAATGTGTAATCAAAGGAAAGGAAGTTCAGAAAGACCCAGGAAGCCTACTGTCAGCAGAGGCCAGCCTCATATCTCCGCTCTGATTCCAAAAGCACATACGCTGTCCAACAGAAGTCCTGTAGTTATCTCTGCCTTGCAGAACTATTCAGAGATGAGATGAACTGCATTTACTCAAACACAACCACTAGTATTCTCATTTCCTGCTTCAAGTACATCATCAAATAGTTTTTTCCAGCAGCTAGTTCTTTTTTTTTCCAGTACTGGGAATCGAACTCACGACCTTGCACTTGCCAGGCAGGCACTGTGCCGCTGAGCTAAATCCCCAGCCCCAAGATTTCTTTTCTTTTGTTTGTTTTTTTGTGGTACTGGGAACCAAACTCACGACCTCGCGCTTGCCAGGCTGGTGCTGTGCCACTGAGCTAAATCCCCAGCCCTATCATCTAGTTCTAATAGGTCTGTTAAAGGGACTTGCCTCATTGTTGTGTTTTGAGTAATGCTTTGGCCCTAGTAGTGGTTAGAAGCTTACTATAAACTAAATCATGAAGCTCATCACTGAGTCAGTTCAGTAGTTCTCACACCAGTCATTCTCCAAAGCTACACACTGTGAACATATGCTACACGCTTCCTTGTCCATGGGGATTGCAGTGCTAGACTGCACTATATGCTGGACATGGGAGAGTATGGAGTCCCATATATATACACTAGGTGTATTCTTCCTATGTGCCCTGAAGCCTTGCCACATAACACCAGGATTAATCTGTCCTGCAGTTTTCTTTTTATACCCTTGTGCTCCCTTGCATCTCTGTTACTACACTTTAGGGGCATTAGGGCTTTAATAAGATAAAGAGTATTTGAACACACGCATAGCTAAACATCAACAGTCAGCTTGATAAGCAAGATAGTGACTAAGTGACTAAGGAGCAGGTAGTGTGTATCTTGTAGATAAGCTGGAGAGAGTGCTGATTCGTCTCTGCATGACAGAGAGGGACAGTGTGAGATTTCATCATACTATTCACAACTGTGTGCAACTTAAAGCTTATGAATTGTTTATGTCTGGAATTTTCATTTAATTCTAGGCTGTAGTTGACCAGGAGTAAATGATATGGCACAAAGCAAAACCGTGGAGATGGGTAAATTTAGATTTACTTTGTATTCACAGAAAAAAACTCTGAATATTTACTTTGAACCTAGTTCAGTTGAACTGCGCTTGAATTTAAAAGCCTAAGTATGCATGTGTAGAGTGATCATTCATTCCAATTTGTTCTTGTCCTTGGGTAAGATGGAAAACCCAAGAGAAAAGTATGCCTTATAAATGCAGCTCACAAAGAAAGTTATAAAAATAGCCAGTAAGCCTGTAAGAAGTGGCTTGACTTTCATGTTTACTAAGGAATGCCTAAAATCAAAGACTGTACTTGATAATACCAAGTAAAAATACCAGAGAGGAGGTAGTGCTGGTGGAGGTTCAACCACTGCTGGTGAAAGTATAAACTGTTAAAATGACTTTGAAATCTGTCAGTTTTTACTAACATGAGCATACACATACTCTATGACCCAAATCTTCTTCTTTAGAATATACACTGTGCCAAAGGATATAATATAAAAATTTAAGTGACTTTTTCTTGCAAAGAAAGAGAGATACTCATTAGCAATTTCCTTATGTAATGCAATCAATGGAAGACAAGTCAGAGGTGTTACTTTCCCCCATGGTTTGCAACTTGTGTTGTTTTTATATTTTATATTGATGTGAAAAGTAACCACATTATCTCAGTTACTTTTCTGTTGTTGCTAAGACAAAATACTCGACACCCAGTATTAAGGAAGGAGAGGTTTATTTAGCTCACAGTTTGTGCAGGTTTTGGTTCATACTCAGCTGGCTCCAAGGCAGGGTGGCACATAGCACAGGGCAACAGTTCATGGCAGTGGAAAATAGCAGAAAACAACCAGAGCAAAAGAAAAGAGTGGCAGAGGGAAGAGCAAGCCTCTTCCCCTCTCTTATACTGTATGCAAACTACATGCCCCAGGGTGGGTGTAGCACTCACACCAATAATCCCAGCATAGGAGCATGGATCAATCATAAACTCTAGAAGCCTGCCCCATGACTGCCTGAGGCTTTGGGAGGACATCCAGACACACACCATAACACACGTTTTTAACATGAGTCCCTTATTAAGATGATATTGTCAGTGTATAATTTACCATGATATTTTCATGTATTTTATCAGGTCCCTATATCTTTTGAATGGTTTTTAATATATTTTTTCCCTCTATGCAAGAGTAAGAGTTCAATAGTCATGTTTTCCACTTCCTATCAAAAATGGTTTTTAAAATTTGGTTAGCATGATGGTCCATCTTAAGGAGATTATTTTTAATATAATAAAATGATACCTTTACTAAAAATGCTTGATCATACCATGTTTTCTCATGATTTACACACTGATTGCAAACAACACTGAATTAAAATATTTGTACAGGGCTGGGGATTTAGCTCAGCGGCAAAAGCGCCTGCCTGGCAAGCGCAAGGTCGTGAGTTCGGTTCCCGGTACCGGAGAAAAACCAAA